ACATGTCCACTCAATATTGCAACTTCCTTTTTGGTAAAAAAATTTGGTTCAAATACTTGCTTGATATTGAGTATGCCCACCATTCAACATTATGATTGAATTCATCTAGTGAAGCCCAATTTTGAAATGTAATAAAAAGAATGCTTTTGGTTCTTATTTGGTAGAGATTTTTTAGAATAAATTTGTGATGATGATTATTATTATTATTTTTAAAAATGTGTGGATAAAAAGTACGAAAAAGTGATAGATCTACATATAAAATCATTTTATTGAGAGAGTGTGTAATTGATAATGAGTTTGGAAAAAAAATGAATATTAAAAAATGGATATCAAACAAGGAAGATTTGTGGTTGGTTGTACTCGTCCGTACATGCAATTGGCAAAGGACATGTACTTATATCACACAAACCGAGAAAAATTTACTCAAGACTACTTACTAGTTGTGTTGGAGTGGAAGGCATTGAGATTGCGACTGATCAACACCAAGATATGTGAGTGGGAGAACTTGGACCACTTTGAAAGCAATCAAAATCATTTATAACATCTCTAGTAATAGTACTTTACGGTATAGTGTTATAAAAAATATTTCAACTTATTTCTTATTTAGCACATGTTTGTTTGCCATTATTTCCCCATTAAAATGAAAAATATTATCGTTATCCATAACATCAAGTCATCAAATTTGAATTTCTATATCTTGTGTAGGACTCATAACGACTATATTTTTTATTCTCATTTTTACAAAAATGAGAAACAAATGTCCCTTTAAATACTGTCCAATTATATCTCAACAAGTTTTTATAGTAACATTTTGAGTAAGTATTTTACTTTCAAATCTTTAACTCCACCAAATTTATGTAAACTTCACTAGTCAACCCTTTTGAAAAATGTATTAACTATCTTATTGAATTTGGTTAACTAGTAGAATATTGTCCAGTACATTTAGCCGAGCATGTTGTTGAAAGGTAGTAAAAAGGAACGAAACATATCTCTTAAAGTGATTCTATAACATTTGACTAACTTAATTTAATTGATACAAGATTATTAATGTATTTTTCATTCGATATTTCTCCATTATTATGCGTGCGATTTTCTATGTGGTTAATATCAATCAAAATGCACTAGGAATCTCCACTTGAGGTTCCCTCAGAGAATTATTATTTGAAGACAACAAATTCTCAAAGAACTCCACTTCATGGGACTCAACAATAACATTAGTTTTCAAGTTTTAATAAATGATATGTCTTGTTATTTTGGACATATTCTACAAAAACGCATTTGATCCCTCTAGAACTAAACTTAGTCCTTTTAAGATTCGCGTTTTTACTATAAGCAAGACACCTCCACAATTTTAAATAACCAATGTTTGGTTTTCTTTATTTTCACAATTCATACGAAGAAAACTATTTTTTTTTTTTTTTAGAAAAAAATTCTATTAACTATGTGACGCACACAATAAAGTTTCATCCTAAGTTAGGTAACAACTTAGCATTTTATAACATAACATTTATCATGTCAACTAATGTCATATTCTTTCTCTCGACCAAACCATTTTGTTTATGTGTTCTAGGTGCACTACATTGATATATTATACGATGTTGTTTACAAAAAAGATTAAATTCACTAGAGAACTATTCACCTCCCTTATCACTTCTAAGAATTTTAATATTTCTATTTAATTGATTTTTTTACTTCAACTTTGTATATCTTAAACATATTAAATGTTTCATTAAGTAGATATAGCAAAACCTAGAATAATCATCTATTAATGTTATGAGGTATCTAGTTAACATTCCATCTAATTCACATATGTCGGAATGAATTAAGTTTAACAAGTTAGACGTCCTTTCAATGCTATGAAATTGTTTCTTAATAATTTTAGACTTAACACATAATTCACATTTATTATATTCTATATTTTCACATGAAATTATTTTGATTTTAATCATTCTTTTTAAAGTAGAATATTCAATATATCCTAGCTTATCATGTTATAAAGAAATAGGCTCAACAACATAATTCAAATGTGTAGTTTTATTAATATCATTGTCAATAGTACAAAGTTTAACAATTCCATCACTAAAATAGTCTTTTTGGACAAATACACCATTCTGAAAAAGTACAAGTTTGTCCAACTCATATTTGGACTTAATTCATGATTTTCCTAACAAGTCACTGCTTACAAAATTTCTATTCATATTCGGTATGTGTAAGACATTTATCAGTGTGATCTTCTTTCCGGATGTGAATTGAAAGTCAATGTTTTCTTTACCAACAACTTTTGATTGAATTTCATTTTTCATTTGAATGTGTTTGTCATCTACTTTCTGGTAGACTTTGAAAATGGATCTATCATAGCATATGTATCATACCATCACGAACATTTCCTTTGATCGAATTCACCATGCTCACAATAGTAATTATGTTGTCAACAGTGTTTATTTTGACTTCTTGCGTTGGTTGTTTACGTTGTTCGTAATCCCGAGCATCATGTTTAGATTTTTCCACACACATAACAAGAAACTTTGAATATCTTCTTGTTCTTGATATCTTTGTTGGGGTTTGTGGATTTCCTCTTCTTGGAATCCATGTTGTATTTATTTGGTTGATCCATAGCATGAACTTTGGTAGTGCCTTCATAAGAATATTCATTCTCATCTTGGGCTCTTGACTCTTCCTCAATTCAATGATATTTTTTAATCTCTTCCAAAGAATAATCTTCGGAATTGTAAAAGATTTTCCTCCTATAACTTTTCCATGAAGATGTCAATTTCATAATGATTGCGCCAACTTGAAATGTTTCAAGAAGATCAATCTTAACGACTTTCATTTTATTGACAATGATTTGTAATCCATGGACTTGTCTTAACAAAGGCAAGTTATCGAAAAATTAGAAATCAAAATACCTTGAAATTAGAAATTTTTTAGTACATTCCTCCTCGGCCTTGTATTTGGTTTCCAACAATTTCCATATCTCTTTAATTTGTTGATGTCTTATTAGTGTAGATATCATAAAGACGATCAGATCGAGCATTTAGAATGTGTCATCTACATATCAATTTATCTTTTTTCTCTCTTCTTTCATTCAACCTTTATTTCATCGGTGTCATTCATGGTTGATTCTGACATTGGTGTGAAAACCAAATCCAAAGTGTAGAAGATCTTCGAGGTTGTGAGAAAAAACTTCAACTTGTTCTTCAATCTTGTAAAGTTCGATTCGTCAAATCTCACAAGGTCATGATTCATCGTCATTATCATAGTCATGGTTGTCATGTTCTCTATATTAAAATATCATTTGAGAATGTTGAACAAAGTTGATGAATATTACGAAAAACGAGCAACAAGAATTTCACCATAATGGAAGGGTTGAACACAATTGTGAATTGTTTCCGCAAACAATAGTTGCAGCCACCGAAATAAATGTTTGAAAGCTTCAAAAGACAAATAGATTGTAGAGTAAGCAACTCTTAATCCAAATTTGAATAAAGCAAACAAAACTTGGAAAAGGAATTTTGAAGAATAATATATGAACCTAGATTTAATCTTTGATTTTGGATATTGATGAATAAATTTGATATATATAAAATCACCATGAACGAAAATGTGCAAAAAATAAGCCAAAAGAGTATGAAACCCTTCAAAATGACTCCGAAATTCAAAATACAATGGTTAGCATTTTTTGCATTGGGTGGCAGTCGAGTTCCACAAAATGGCCATTTTAATTACAATATATATGTGTGTGTGTAGTTGACCACTTCCATCATTACCAAAATCACTCCTCATTGTTAATTTTAACAATATCCAACAATATTAACTCTCTTACTGAATTTGGTTAACTAGTTGAATATTGTCCAGTACACTTAACCAAGCATGTCGGAAAAAATTATTGTCGAAAGTTAATAAAAAAAGAAAGAAACATTTCTTTTAAAATGTGATTCTATAACATTTGATTAACTTAATTTGATCAATGCAAGAAATATCATTGTACTTTTCATTCGAAAAATCTCCAGAATTATCCCTATGATTTTCTATTTGGTCGATATCAGTCAAAATGTTTCCTAGTTGGTCGATATCAATCAAAATGCACTAACTTAATGGGCGAACACCTTCTCGATAAAGAGCCACGTTGTCATTGTTTGGATCTTTATCACTTAATCGCACACCAAAATTTATGAATTTTACTTAAAAAATTTATAATTTTCTTCTCTTTTAAACCTCAGTTTGCCAAGTTTATAAAAATAAATAGTAGTGGGTCTAATGAAATGTGTGAATAATGATGAGTAATATTACGTTATTAAAATTATTTTTTGACTTTAACTGAATTTATTAATCATTTATAAATTATATTTAAAAGTAAAAGTGTCGTTTTTAAGCCCACTCATAGAATGAGACTTTTAATCATCTGAAAATCATTTTATGATGTTTGATCACATCATTTGAACAACCCAATCCAATGGGTTAAAGCGGCATTGTAGTTATCCAATAGACCTCACCATTAAAGATACCTGTGTAGTTTAAATTTAGGAAACATTCTAGATTATGTGACTAATTCTTCAAGAGAAACTTACATGAAATGATAGTAACCAACCTGACAAATTTACGCTAGATATTATTTCCCATCTTTACAATTTCCATAATGAAAACATGTAAATTGAGAAGAAATTCAGGCAAGAAGTAAGCATGCAAGGTTGATAATGTCAATCAATTGTATTAATTGCTTTTGTATGTTCTATTTTGCATAACCTACACATAATTTATCTCTTCTTTTCTTTTCTTTTCCGGCTTTTTTTTTTTTTTTGCCTTGGCTTATCCCCATGATAACATTTAACTTTTCATTGACCTGTACATTTCAAGTGACCTGTCATGACCTTTATATCTCTTCATATTTCTTCTTTTATTTCTTGAAACGTACCAAAAGCATGCCCTGAAGTGTTTGACAAGACTTTGGTATAGTGAGCTCAATAATTCGTGTTTTATCGACTTTGCTTAAGTTGCAAGAGTTTAGGAACAAAAAACAATTTTATATACAATTGCAACACTAATTTCTAAAGGCCCTAAACTGAATTGCCTCAGTCCAAACTCAGTGCAAAATGTTGCCACTTTCATCCTATTACGATACTACCCTACTTGTCTTAGATATAAGCAAACAAAAAGAAGAAAAACTTAACATCGTAATCCCATCTTATCCGATAGAATCTGCTAAATATACCTAACTTTGATGATTTCGTACCAAACCTTCTTGTTGCAAAGGTGCAATACATACAAGAACTTCTTGGGGTGGTGGGATTACTGGTGCCGATGGACTGACCTGGTTGCATTTTACTAATTTTTGGCAAGTTTCAATTAGACAATGCCTACAAGTAGGGCAAGAGGAGTGTGAATTCAGCCATTTGTCAATACACCGGACATGGAATCCATGGTTGCACTTAGGCAGGACACGAACGCGTTCTCCTGTAGCAAAATCTGAGAGACATATTGCACACTCAGTGTTCAGACCTGGAAGGTTAAGATCACCGGTGTAACTTATTATAGGGAATGTTTTGAGGGTCTTTTTCTTTATTCCTGTGTTGGCTAGACGAGCAGACGGGGAATCATCAGAGGATACTGAATTCAAGCACCTTAGTGCACATTTTATGAGGAAATTAAATCCAAGTGAAAATATTAGAGCACACAAGAGGACTGATAAGATCATTACAACATTTGCATCGAATGAGTTGTCCCTGGGTTCCATAATGGACGGGGAAACTGCTGCTACAGTTGATAATGGTGGTGAACTATAAAGAGGAGCATGGAGTAACAATCTTCTTGAGTGGAAATTCTTCAAGAATTCTTGAATGACAATAGATGAATGGGAGTAAATGGAAGGAGTAGCCATTTTTTTTCTCCCTTTGTTGAGTTTTGTTGGAGTTAATTTATGTGGAGGTGGTTGCACATGGGGGAATATATAGAGGGATAAAGTTAAAAGGTTGGATCAACTTTTGGAGTATTAAATGACCGAAAAACTGTATTTTGAAACTAATCTTTGATATTGGGAAAAGATTCTAAGCTTTGAAGCCTTAAGTTTGATAAAATTTGATTTTCCTATATCTGCATTTGGATCCTCCACTAGGCTTTCCAATCAAACATGGACCCAACCCACTATCTTGATAGCACAAAACGGGTTGGTGGTACGGAGCCTAAGAAGGGAAGAGGAAGTTTCCTCTTTATGGTGACAAGGAGAAAAAGGGGGAAAAAATAAGAAAAGAAAAGGAATTTCTAGTATGTTGCTATTAGTCTTTCAAATGTGAAAGTCCCAAGGTGGACATTTGAGAGACTCCTACTCCAAGTTCCAATTCTTTGCATTGCATTTCAAGACGTTTCCAAACAAGTTTTTGTTCGTGTCGAAAATAGCATTAGAGTGAATCAGAGTACAATTAAAAAAAGCTTAAGTCAGCTCCATATAAGAACGAGCATGGCCTAAAAGGGGTTTCATTCGAAAGAACAATTATGCCTGTAGAATGTTAGCTATTATAAACTTCGCATTGTACTAAATTTCTTCACTTATCTTATCTATTAGATCTCAACGTAACTATACTACTTAACTTGATAGTTGAAATGGGTCTTTTTTAATTGCAACTTTGTGTACTACATTTGAAAAAGGTCCCTTGAGAATCCAAGGTATTGTTTATTTATTAAGATATTGGTTAAAAGTTTTCTGATTGCAATATCTAAAAAATTCCATTAGATTAATTAACATATGGTTTACAGCTAAAGTAACATATTTAGCAATCTAATTAGATCTTCTGAAAACATATCTGCTACCTTTAAAAAAATAAAGTGCTGTCCAGTGGTAGCCTTATAAGGTTAAGAGCGTTGTTTTCAACCAATTTATCTACAACTCATGTTACCCAATAACAATTCCTACTTTGCTGGATAATATATACATATATATTGGTTGCGTTCATTTTTATTGTATGCTATCACCTTTTTTATCACTTTAGTTGCTCGGCCAACCGTATTCCGTTCTTTAACTAGGTCGAGAGCTGTAAGTATTAGGCAGAAAGCTACTCGTCCATGTACTTTTATCGTACACAAGATTTGAAAGATATGTTTCAATTTTTTTTTTTTTTTTTCAAAAGCGTGTAAATCCATAGACACAAGTGGTGTTACTATGTAATTGTGGGGTTGCAGGAGGGCTTAATCAAGAGGCTTATCCATTCCTTACGTAAGATCCACAACTTGTTATCTATTTACTATCCAGACATTCATATTAGTCAACAACTTGTAAATACATAAAAATTAGGGAAAATTAGAGTAGCAATTCCCAACCTTTCACCTTTTTTGTGAATTTTATTTGGGAAAATTGCAGCTGAGGTATCAAACCTTTCGTTTATTAGCAGACTTTGCCCAAACCTTTAGTTTGTGTCACCAGAGGTACCAAACCTTCAAAAAATTCACACTCGGAGTCCAAATTGACAGAAATTGTTAGTTTGACTGTTATTGACCAAAAATTAAAGGTCTGACTAATTGTTGACTGGTTTTTAAAGGGGCAAATGTGTAACTTTACATTTTCATATAAAAAATTTATATAAAAGAATTATATTTAAAACCAAAAAACAAAAAAAATAAAAAAACTCCAATCATCATCTCCACTCACCCCCCCCCCCCCCCCCCAAAACA